TTTCCAGTATGTAAAGGGTCTCCGGTTCTCTATACTCATCATACGAAACACAGCAGCATTGAGCTGCTATTTTACGCTGGTATTCAGTGAGAGTGTGGTCCTTCCCCGGTCGATCCAACCTATTCGTGCTACAACCATAATGTAGTTGCGCATGGCTCTTCCACGTAAGAAGTAAGTCAAAAACTTGAAGAAACCAGTTTCATAGCCTGAAACTAAATATTTTGACACCAAACTGAAACGTGTTCTCTCATTCACAAGAAGGTTTGGTTTGAGATATCTTTATTTCTTATAAGAATTTACAACAATTCACTTACATGAGAAAGTTTAAATCATCATCATCATCATCATCATTACAGCCCTTCACAAGTCCACTGCTGAACATAGGCCTCCCCCAAAGAATGCCACAAAGCACGGTTCTGAGCCACCTGCATCCATCGACTTCCTGCATATCTTACCAGGTCGTCACTCCATCTAGTGGGGGGACGCCCTACACTTCGCCTGCCGGTACGAAGCTGCCACTCGAGAACCTTTCTTCCCCATCGGTTGTCGGTTCTTCGAGCTATATGGCCGGCCCATTGCCACTTCAGCTTACTAATCCGTTGGGCTATGTCGGTCACTCTAGTTCTACTGCGGATATCCTCATTTCTGAGTTTATCACGCAGAGAAACTCCGAGCATAGCCCTCTCCATAGCTCGCTGAGCGACCTTGAGCTTCCTCATCCGGCCGGCAGTGAAGGACCACGTCTCAGTTCCGTATGTCATCACTCCGCATGGCTCTTCCACGTAAGAAGTAAGTCAAAAACTTGAAGAAACCAGTTTCATAGCCTGAAACTAAATATTTTGACACCAAACTGAAACGTGTTCTCTCATTCACAAGAAGGTTTGGTTTGAGATATCTTTATTTCTTATAAGAATTTACAACAATTCACTTACATGAGAAAGTTTAAATACTTGCAAACAAATAATAATCTTATCCTAGGCGTACACTAATATATCGAAATCATTTCACTCAAACACGTTCAAATCGTAAGTATACATTTTAAATAATTTTTATTTCTAAGTATAAACAAAATACAATGTAGATTTACAGGATACTTGTTGTGTAAAAAAATATACACCAAATTTAATATTATCGCTAGGCGATGTCTAGGCTATTATCGTCTAGGAATTTCACTTCTGTGCTGTGCGAAATGTGATGATCCATCCATCGGAGACTATAGATCCATTATTTTTCGTAGGCGATTTTTACGACACCCATAAAATCATATGGAGTAACCACACATTACAAGGAATGAAGAAAGTAGTCTAAAATTGTTAATATAGTTATTGTGTCAATAGTTTAAAATTGTAATGTGAGCCACGGGTATGGTATTAGCATGTTCTTTGCAACAAATAAGTTATTCTTCTTTTTGGTCTCAATTAGAAATAAAAGAAAATCTGCGTCTTTAGCTGAAAGAATTAAAATAATTTTTTGTGTTCTACTTTGTAGTATAGTATAAAACAATATTTCCAAAAGAGTTGTATAAACGTTTCCTTTCAATCGGATGATTTTACCAGCCTATAGACTGTAAATATCTATAAACACTTAGATGGAAGTCCTCAAACGGAAAGATGTTAAAAGAAAAAGAAATTTAAAATAAGCTCTGACTTCGAACCAGACGAAGCAGAGTTAATGATGCTTGACGTCGTTTCAAAATTACAAAGGCAGTGAGTGTTATCTTAGGAAAATGTTGGAGCTTCTAAGATGTTTAAATGCAATTTAATTTCATTGAATGTAAAGACGATAAATGAACTTCTCATCAAGCATTAAAAATTAAAAAGAACTAGTAGATTAAATGAAACTAATTTTAAGGATTTTATCGCGCTTAGCATTCATGGTTACTGAGGTGTTAGACGTCCCGATGTCATAGTTAGCCCGGCTATCTTCAGTTTTTGAATACTAATTTTTGGTACGCAAAAGCAGTTTTTTGGTCCGATCTAGCAGAAAGCGCGTAGGTGATTAGTGATAGGATGTTCTAGTAGCGCCTAAAAATCAAAATTCCAACGTTTTGTCGTATGAAACCGTATCTCATAATCATATTGAACATATAAATGATATAAAAATCACATTGTCAGAAAAATAAAAGATTGCTGAACTTATTTATTTTTAAATCGATCCATTGCTATTTTTACATAAAAAAGCGTGTTAGTGGCATAAGGTGTTGATTTATCAAGTACGCACGGTGGCGTAAACACGATAACTTTCGAAAATATCAATTATTCAACTCAATCTATTTTTTATCTATCATGTGCTAAGCCATGGAATGTAAATGGCAGTTTAATTTTGTTTTGTTTATTTATAATTAATTTTTTTCGGCTGAGAAATTGCGAAATTTTCGATGTTTTGAACAGTCTTATATTAATTATTTTACTAGATACACTTTGCCTCACTCTCGGTCACAGAGTATTTTTTTTCTTCGGGCTCAGCCGCCGTCGTGAGTGGTCGTTTGTTTACAGCGGTTCGTGCTGAAAAATATCGATCGCTTTAGAAATACAAAATATTCCAAAAACCAAATTTGATACATACTTGACCAAGGTAAGATATTATCATTATTTTTATAATCACAGATTTTTATTACAATATTTTGTTTCGCTAAAAGTACGCAGGATTTATATAGAAATATACTTTGTGCTTTATGGAGACCTGAAAGTGTACTTCGATATCTGTACTGGAACTATTGGAATCGGCGAGTAGAACTAGGTGTGCCGAGATTGTGCTCGGTATGTTTGTTGTGTTCATTATGCATTTACACCGTCTCCCCCCCCCGTTAATGGTACTCATATCCTAAATATTTTTACAATTTTTGAAGTATATTATAAATTATAATATAGTTTGTTTGCAAAATGAGTATATTTAATTTATAATAGACTATATGACCTAAAGAGGCGCCGACGATGAGGTGCTAGGCTAGCCTAGGGCGCAGTCGAGATTTAATCCGCCTCTGCCTCCGAACTTGATAAAGTGGCTTGAAAGTGTGCCTCTAAGAGTAGAACTAGATGTGCCGAGTTTGGCCTCGTTTTGTTAGCTATGATGAGACCTTACCTCCGAGCTTGATAGAGTGACTTGATGGTGGACTTTGATAACTGTTACTGGAACTCCTCGAAGTGGAGAACTAGATGTGTCGAGTTTGGGCTCGTTTTGTTAGTTAAGAATAGACCTTGCCTCTGGACTTGACGAAGTGACTTGAAAGTGTATTTCGGTGACTGCTACTGGAACTCCAATTTACATTTTTTTCTAATTTTTTCACTATCATATGAGCATTATGAGTCGTGCATTTTTGGATCTTACAAACTTCTTTTTAATTGAAGTTCATAAAATTATCGGAAAATTGGAAGTATAGTAATAAGGTTATTAGTGAAAACTTATGCGTATTTAAACTACTTTAAAAGAATTAGGTATAATCACGTTATACATATATTTTTTAATGCGCAATTGGATTTAGCTAACTAGCAGAGAACAAAAGTATTGAGTATATTTAATAATATTTTTTATTAATAATAAAAAAACGTATTTTTGTGGTAGTCATAAAAACAATTATTAGCTCAAGAAAGGCACAAGTAAATGTTGCATTTTGAACAGAGCACCTTTGATCGTGATTTATAATCTTCCATCCGGCAGCTTCTTGGAACTTTTATTGTGTCAAATATCGGTAGATGATCATACCCGTCATACCTTTTGTCAATCGACGGAGGAGGGGGAGGCTTGTAGCTACCAGCACCAAGCCTTTCGTCAGGGTTTTCATCATCGGCTTCTTCAGGTCTATTTCTGTCAGGCATCTGTTTGGTTCAGGTTGGCTATTGCAGTCTGTCTGCAATAGCCAACCTGAATCAAAGAAGATCTTTTATATTTTTGTTACTGGGACCTGCCAGCTCTGAATCAATTTTGTATTGACGTCAAGCGTTGTTAACCGACAAATCCAGTAAATGTATTAATACCTTCACGGTCCATTTCTTAGCGTTTTGGGATGTGCCATAATATTTTATGATCTGATCTAAAACATCCACATCGCCCATATTTTTATGATAGTTTAAAACATTTTTAGGCGCTTTTACAGGCACGTAACTTTTTTGTTTTTTCTCCCATCTAGGAACGTAAGAGAGATTATCACCACTAGTGCAGTCAGACGTCAGCAAAACAATATTATTGTCCTCCCATTTAACTAGTTACATCCCCAAAGACATACTGAAGGATGTCACCTCGTTTCATATCGCCTTTTTCAGCAAGTTTTAGTTTTTTTTTCCATCGGGAACAGGGTAAGCCATGATTGTCCCTGTTCCGTGCAAGTTCATTTGATGTAATTTTTCCAAGAGTGGAACCGTATTAAAATATCGATCAAAGTATATGCAACTACCGTGTGGGATGCTTTGCGCAAAATACACGATGACTCCGGGCCCTTCTATACTTCTATCAAAAATTATGCGGTTAGTAAATCTTAAAATTGACTATGAGGCCTTGGTATGTAGTAACTACATAGTTTTTCAATCCCAGCGGTCGCGGTTTGTTACGAACTAATACACGAATGCGACATTTTCTCGTAAAAGGAATTATTTGCTCGTCAATACTGTAGTAGCCTGGCGTCCTCTTAAATTTTTCGTAAGCTTTGTGAACGGCTTTTATTGTTTATATTATTTGATCACATACACATTTTTTGATCCCTGCTGCTGTTGTATTAAGCACATTGCCAGTTTTTGTCACATAATAAATATTAGTATAATTTGCAGCGTTTTCAAAAAACTGAGCGTCAAAAAATAAAGAAAAATACTCCAAACGTGTAAGAAGAGTAGTTGCTGGGCGAGGTAAATATCCAGACTGATCTTTATTTTCAAAGGGCATTTTTCGCCAGTTCCTGTGTCGCTGGTGCGTCTGTGTGGTTGGTGTTCGAGTACTAGGTGCAGAGGAATGGCTAAGTTGAACTGGTGCCCGACCGCGACTTGTAGTGGCAATAGGTGGTCGTCGATTTGTTAACGACGCCGACGCACTGCAACCTGAGGATGATAGCTGTACATCGATTGTGCGACGTTGGCTGATGAACGGTTGGTAAAACGTTGAAGCTTAGATGGTGGCTCACCCTCTGGCATCGAAAACTCTGGATTTTGTACAGGAACATCGGCTTCCGCGTAAGGTCTTACGGTGGACTCAATATCTGCGTCCATTTCATCCTCTGTGTTAGGCTGTTCTGCCGCGGCTACTCTGTTGAGAAGATCTTCGCCATCTGAATTTTCGAGCTCCCAGTTACAACCATCTCCAATGAGTTCATGAACCAATTTCGAAGTTAAAGGCCCTAAAAGAAACGAAAAATTTACATTACTTAGAATAATCAAAAAACAAACACCGTCCTGACATGCACGATCGTGTTTTATATGTTTGGGTACTTTCAGAACGCAACTTTATCAAATTTCGATTTAAAATAAAAAATAATTCTAAATTTTTAGGATACATTTAAAATAAATACAAATAAAACATATTAAAATCTATCAATATGCTGTTTAAATAAATACTTACTTTGCGTGCCTCTCGTCTTTAAGTACGCGTCCATACTTGTCACTTAACATGACACGACACCGACTAAGCACCAATGAATGACCTTATTTTCAAAATATCAAATTTAATGAAACGCACGATCGATCGACAGCGTTTTGGCGCGGTAAAATTGATTAGCTTCTTCACTAGAATTTTAAAGTTGAACGTACTATCGTATCATTCTGTGCTGAGAGGGTTAATGTTGTCATAAAAATAAAACTGTAATTCGGAATAAGGTTACTGAATATTAGTTATAGTTCAGGGTGACAGACCACATATTATGAGCTACAGACTAGTAGAATGAGTCCGCAGTCACACATGATTTTAACAGATCGTAGTATTCTCAAATAGTAATATAGATTCAAGAAAAATGTATTATCTCAAACGTGAACTTGAAAGAATAGGCGCTTAGCTACAAAAATGTGATAGAATATGGATAAAGAATATTTATTAAATAACGTTTTATGAAAAGTCTACACAGAACAACACAAATAATCATTTATTTTTAGACTTTCATGAAACCTCGAAGGCAGTATGTTTTGACAAGAATATTATAGATTTGAAAAACCATATTTATCATAATTTGTAGCTATTTTCGGCAAAACCTTCTCAGAAATAAGAGGAGGCCTAAGCCCAGCTGTGGGACTTATAAAGGCTGTAACTGACTTTTCAAATTTTGGCGAATCACCCAGAACTCTCGTGTTTCGAGTTTCGTAGCGTCAAGCAGTATACCAGATTTCCATTTTTTTAGAATATTTCAAGAAAGTGATTTGTTGATATACAGAAAGTAGTGAAAGGCGTGAGTAAGATGTGCTGGGAATACGATGTGTAGATCCTTGTGACGTGGGCGTACGAGTTTTTTTTTCATAAAGTAAAGTGACAAACGAACTTTCAGTCCACCATATGGCAAATAGCCCGTAGACACCTGCAACAACATGCACCAACTCCAGGGGAGAAAAGACGCCCGACCACCTGGTAAACAGCCCATTGGATCCACAGCCCGTATATGGGTTAAGTATTCCTACTATTAAAATGCTTCAAATTGAACACATTTTTTTATAGGATAAGGGTAACAAACGAGCACACAGTCCACCTGATGGTAAGTGGTTGCTGTGGCCCATAGACATCTACATCTGAAAATGCAGATGCGTTGTCACCCATGAGGACTAAGATGGTATGCCTCGTTGGGCCTCCGGTTCTCTACACTCACCATAAGAAACACAGCAGCGTTAAGCGACTATTTTACGCTGGTATTCTGTGAGAGCGTGGTCCTTCCCCGGTCGAGTCGACCCATTCGTGCTACAACCATAATATAGCTGCAGCATGGCTATACATACATAGCATACCACGTATAAAAGTGAAGTTAATGCATAGTTTACATGAGCTCAGTAACAAATGCTTAGCTCCTGACCCGTTAACTAACTTGCTTAGTGACAAGTGAGAAGTATCCGTTTATACGTTAGTGTTAGAGAACGGTATTACTCGTACTGGCAGGACCTTCGTTCGAAATGGAACCACCGCCGAAACCTTAATTGAGCAGTGTGCAGAAATTGAACTGAACTTATTTTAATATAAAGTTTTATGAACTCGGTTAAAGAAGGGTTTTTAATTAATAATAATGTGCAATCACTACTACCGAACTTAATAACAAATCTATTTTATTAGATCTCCTTATGTAAAGATCTGATTTAAGTTTTAATATATAATAGTGATTGAAGATGAAAGGGCACTGGAAGTGAATATAAAAGTAGTAAATCAGTCAACATGCGTTCTAGTTTGGGTACAGTCCGTCTCTGATTTCTGAGAAATTTCATTTTCCAACACCTTCTCAGAAATTTATTAATATGAAAAATCGTAAAAGGAATGATTTCTGAGAGATTTCATTTTCTAACACCTTGTCAGAAATTTATATTGAAAAGCGTAAAAGGAAATAAATATCTTAAGCAGTTTGATCGTTGGGCCAAACGAAGCCATATTTATCTAAACAGAGGCTTAAATATATTTATGAGACTGCTCCTGTGAACTGTGTTGAAAGTATTAGTGGATTCTCTTACGTCTCCACTATATGGCCATTATTCTCGATTTTTTAAGGGTGGGGAATTAAAAATAATTAAAAAAAATGAAATTAAAGGCGATATAATCTGTAAAATTAGTTCTATTTAAAAATTAAACTTACAACATAATTTGAAAGCTACCTACAATCGTAGGGCTGCGCAGGGCAAGGCCACAAGTATTACACAAAGGTAGAGGTGCTCATTCGTTCGGACCTACAAGAATCCGATGTATCAAAATCAGATATAGACTCGGATGTCCGAAACACAAAGCCAGTTACGGAACCTTAATATTAGAAATTGGAAAGTAGTAGTAGTGGTAGTAAATATTGGTAGTTATAATCACTATATTATTATTATCACTTAGCCACGGGTTCGTTCTTCATTATAAACAATATAATAGTGTAATATAGTTCAGTGCCGCACATATTACATGATTAATGACATACATAATGTTGAATAATGCGAGAAGTAGAGGTATATTATGACTATAAATTTATGTGTAGTAAATGTAGGTAGAGGTTTAAGGGTACTTATATAACATTTTCAGGATCAAAGGTCCTGCTGCTGAAATGGAAATTCTTGGTACAAATGAATAAGAAGAATGTATAATTTGCTAATCACGGGTCAGACTCATAATTTCAGGAGACTACTAGGCAGCTTCCACAATAAAGATAAGTTTACATGGAATGTTTTCAATAAAATTTCTTACAGTCAAAAACTATTCTTTTACTTTTGTTTCATTCTTTTCTTTAATTTTTCGCTAAATGCAAAATAAATCGTTTATTCATAACATGCTTTATTTCCATGGTCGTTTGAACGTGTAAATCGCCCATTTGAACCCTAATTAAGATAAATATTTAAGTAATATAAATAATTATTTATTAAAACTAGTATCGTGTCTAGTCGAGGATATTCGAATCGAAATTATCAACATAGGGTTGATAAATAACAATAATTTATCATGTCAACTCAGACTAAAGAATAAGCCTATTCCTTAATCTTTGTTTGGAATATACTTATTAATATATACATTTTTATTTTAGAGTACTCAATTTGATTTAAAGTAATTATTTGTTTCATGTTTTGCAATCGGTATATTACAAGCGTCGTATCATTACGTTTCTCTTACTTTTCTATGACATTCAAGTTGTCCGCGATCCTTGTCATTTGTAAACGATTTTGATGATTCTTTTTATTAAATGGGGTGGCGTCAGTGGTGGCCTTAAATAAATTTTAAGATATAAATCTTTTTTATAGGATAGGGTGACAAACGAGCACACAGCCCACATGATGGTAAGTGGTTGCTGTGACCCAGAGACATCTATCTCGAATTCAAATCGATTTGCGCCAAGCCGTTATTTATTCTGTGGTCAAGCTTGCGGTAGCAAGCCAATTGCGAGCCGATACGCGCCGAACTCGCGACAGCGTGCCGAACAAAGATTTAAATAGATAATAGTAAACTTAAATAAATAATAAAACTATATAAATCTTTGGTGCCGAATCGCGCTGAACACACACCAGAGAGCCGAATCGCACCGAATCAACGAGCCCTTGGGCACTTAGAAAATACACGTGTAGGGCAAGCACCCTTATGTTAAATAATACAGGCATTCCTGTCTCGAGATGCTCCGTAGATAAGTCTATCACGATCTAAAGATATCTTACTACTCTCCTTGCCGCGGCACCATGTGTTGTGCCGATGATAGCAAGTTGTGTTGTCGCAACCACGGTAGCGAGTAGTGTCACTGCAGCTGCGCTGTACACCATACTGGCGATCAGTCGCAATCGACATCGTTATGCTACGGCATCAGCTCCACACGTTCAAAAAAGCTTTAGCAAGCCTAAGTAAGCTGTAACTTAACAACATATTAAAACAGAGATGTAAGGCCACCGTAATAGCTTTCAACGGTAGTACCTAAATTAGATTAAAATACCTAAACAACATATTTAGTTAAAATAATTTTAGCTCTTGAAAATAATCCACCAAAATCATATAATTAAAAGTATAAACATTATTTAAATGTACGTCATTCTCACAAAACTGAGAATCTTAAGAACGCATAGAATCTGCAATTGAACACTGAATCTGAGGTGAATATCTCTTCATTAAATGCGAAATAATAACTAAGCGGAAATAATGTCTGCATTAGACTTGAAAGTTATCTCATAACTAAAATAAAAGAGACCATTGGGAGTTATTTGTTCTAAGTTTATTCAAATTAAAAGAGTTGTATTGAAAATTTTGTTAAATTTACGTAAATCATTAAAACAAATATTATTTGAGATATTTTTAAAACCACTCCAAAGACATTTAAATTGAACCTTTGAATCTCTTTGTATCACTCGAACAAAGATTCAACTCTACTTCATTACTTTCAATTAACAAATCCTTGATAAAAAGAAATGGAAAATTCGATCTTTTACAATATTTGCGTCTGTACTTCATGAGTAGTCTAGTACTACCATAATATGTCTAATAAATATTACACATATGGGACTATCTGTATACGTTACGAATTTAATAATTCGCTTATAATCTCGAATGTGACAATATTACATTATTACATGGTATATTGGTAGAAGTTTTGATAGTTTGTAGTTTGTATTAAATATGCCTACAGTTAAATCTAAAAGTCTTTATTTTACTGTACTCAGGTTACTTGAAAGCTGCTTAAAATAACTAAATCTATAAATTAAAAATACAAAAAATTACCTGACAATAACTTTACATACCAAATTGTAACACCAAGTACTGGGAACTCTTATTCTGAAGACTATTTTATTCCTTCATTACTACAATTATAAAATAATTTAAAATTAAAAATTTTGTACAGCTGTCTTCAATATAAGTTATTAAGAATAACTCAAAAACTATTGGTCTGACCTTGATCAAATTCATATTGGATCACACGAGAAGTACCAGCTTTAAAATAAAAAAAGAATCATCGATATCGGTTCACCA